TCTCAATCGCAATACAGGAAGCCATAAATATTGCAAAGCACCGGTCACACTACCCCTTCATAATTCATTGACAAAAGAACAAGTTTCCTTTTTTCACGTGCGTAATAACAATTTAGGTTAAATAATTGAAATTAAAAAAAAAAAAAAAAACTTCAGTACAATTATGGGACTTCCATTGACAAACTATTGCAGCTGTTAACAAGGAAATAAACTTCGTTCAAATATCACGTGCTAAATGTGGATTAGAGCACGCAACATCCGAATTGGGCTGTTACCATGTTTCCAGTCGAGTAGAAGTTAGATTGCAGGTTCAAACACAGAGACCAACTAACAAATGAGTTAATTACAACATGACGTCACCACTTGCTCACCCCCCCTCCAGACTCGTCCATAAAAGACTGATCTAAAAATAGCCTCACCCATCTCGGCCGCGTGCTCCTCCTTGGCTTTGGCCAGCTTCTCGTTGACCTTCTGCACCTCCTCCTGCACCGAGGCGTACTCGAGTTCTTTCCTGTGTAGGGTCTCCAGCAGCTGGGCATTGGCTCGCTCCAGTCTGGGGACAGAGGGAAGGGGGGTCAGGGTCAGATGAGGACGTGATGGTGGGGGGGGGGGAGGGGGGTGAGCAGCTGGGCATTGGCTCGCTCCAGTCTGGGGACAGAGGGAAGGGGTGTCAGGGTCAGATGAGGACGTGATGGTGGGGGGGGGGGAGGGGGGTCAGCAGCTGGGCATTGGCTCGCTCCAGTCTGGGGACAGAGGGGAGGGGTGTCAGGGTCAGATGAGGACGTGATGGTGGGGGGGGGAGGGGGGTCAGCAGCTGGGCATTGGCTCGCTCCAGTCTGGGGACAGAGGGAAGGGGGGTCAGGGTCAGATGAGGACGTGATGGTGGGGGGGGGGGGGGGGGAGGGGGGTCAGGGTCAGATGAGGACGTGATGGTGGGGGGGGGGGGTCAGCAGCTGGGCATTGGCTCGCTCCAGTCTGGGGACAGAGGGAAGGGGGGTCAGGGTCAGATGAGGACGTGATGGTGGGGGGGGGAGGGGGGTCAGCAGCTGGGCATTGGCTCGCTCCAGTCTGGGGACAGAGGGAAGGGGGGTCAGGGTCAGATGAGGACGTGATGGTGGGGGGGGGGGGGGGTCAGCAGCTGGGCATTGGCTCGCTCCAGTCTGGGGACAGAGGGTAGGGGGGTCAGGGTCAGATGAGGACGTGATGGTGGGGGGGGGGGAGGGGGGTCAGCAGCTGGGCGTTGGCTCGCTCCAGTCTGGGGACAGAGGGTAGGGGGGTCAGGGTCAGATGAGGACGTGATGGTGGGGGGGGGAGGGGGGTCAGCAGCTGGGCATTGGCTCGCTCCAGTCTGGGGACAGAGGGAAGGGGGGTCAGGGTCAGATGAGGACGTGATGGTGGGGGGGGGGAGGGGGGTCAGCAGCTGGGCATTGGCTCGCTCCAGTCTGGGGACAGAGGGTAGGGGGGTCAGGGTCAGATGAGGACGTGATGGTGGGGGGGGGGGGGGGTCAGCAGCTGGGCATTGGCTCGCTCCAGTCTGGGGACAGAGGGAAGGGGGGTCAGGGTCAGATGAGGACGTGATGGTGGGGGGGGGGGAGGGGGGTCAGCAGCTGGGCATTGGCTCGCTCCAGTCTGGGGACAGAGGGAAGGGGGGTCAGGGTCAGATGAGGACGTGATGGTGGGGGGGGGGGGGAGGGGGGTCAGCAGCTGGGCATTGGCTCGCTCCAGTCTGGGGACAGAGGGAAGGGGGGTCAGGGTCAGATGAGGACGTGATGGTGGGGGGGGGGGGAGGGGGGTCAGCAGCTGGGCATTGGCTCGCTCCAGTCTGGGGACAGAGGGAAGGGGGGTCAGGGTCAGATGAGGACGTGATGGTGGGGGGGGGGAGGGGGGTCAGCAGCTGGGCGTTGGCTCGCTCCAGTCTGGGGACAGAGGGAAGGGGGGTCAGGGTCAGATGAGGACGTGATGGTGGGGAGGGGAGGGGGGTCAGCAGCTGGGCATTGGCTCGCTCCAGTCTGGGGACAGAGGGTAGGGGGGTCAGGGTCAGATGAGGACGTGATGGTGGGGGGGGGGTCAGCAGCTGGGCATTGGCTCGCTCCAGTCTGGGGACAGAGGGTAGGGGGGTCAGGGTCAGATGAGGACGTGATGGTGGGGGGGAGGGGGGTCAGCAGCTGGGCATTGGCTCGCTCCAGTCTGGGGACAGAGGGAAGGGGGGTCAGGGTCAGATGAGGACGTGATGGTGGGGGGGGGGGGGGGGGAGGGGGGTCAGCAGCTGGGCATTGGCTCGCTCCAGTCTGGGGACAGAGGGTAGGGGGGTCAGGGTCAGATGAGGACGTGATGGTGGGGGGGGGGAGGGGGGTCAGCAGCTGGGCATTGGCTCGCTCCAGTCTGGGGACAGAGGGAAGGGGGGTCAGGGTCAGATGAGGACGTGATGGTGGGGGGGGGGAGGGTGGTCAGCAGCTGGGCATTGGCTCGCTCCAGTCTGGGGACAGAGGGAAGGGGGGTCAGGGTCAGATGAGGACGTGATGGTGGGGGGGGGGGGAGGGGGGTCAGCAGCTGGGCATTGGCTCGCTCCAGTCTGGGGACAGAGGGAAGGGGGGTCAGGGTCAGATGAGGACGTGATGGTGGGGGGGGGGGGGTCAGCAGCTGGGCATTGGCTCGCTCCAGTCTGGGGACAGAGGGAAGGGGGGTCAGGGTCAGATGAGGACGTGATGGTGGGGGGGGGGGGAGGGGGGTCAGCAGCTGGGCATTGGCTCGCTCCAGTCTGGGGACAGAGGGAAGGGGGGGTCAGGGTCAGATGAGGACGTGATGGTGGGGGGGGGGAGGGGGGTCAGGGTCAGATGAGGACGTGATGGTGGGGGGGGGGGGGTCAGCAGCTGGGCATTGGCTCGCTCCAGTCTGGGGACAGAGGGAAGGGGGGTCAGGGTCAGATGAGGACGTGATGGTGGGGGGGGGGTCAGCAGCTGGGCATTGGCTCGCTCCAGTCTGGGGACAGAGGGAAGGGGGGTCAGGGTCAGATGAGGACGTGATGGTGGGGGGGGGGGGGGGAGGGGGGGTCAGCAGCTGGGCATTGGCTCGCTCCAGTCTGGGGACAGAGGGAAGGGGGGGTCAGGGTCAGATGAGGACGTGATGGTGGGGGGGGGGGAGGGGGGTCAGGGTCAGATGAGGACGTGATGGTGGGGGGGGGGGTCAGCAGCTGGGCATTGGCTCGCTCCAGTCTGGGGACAGAGGGTAGGGGGGTCAGGGTCAGATGAGGACGTGATGGTGGGGGGGAGGGGGGTCAGCAGCTGGACATTGGCTCGCTCCAGTCTGGGGACAGAGGGAAGGGGGGGTCAGGGTCAGATGAGGACGTGATGGTGGGGGGGGGGAGGGGGTCAGCAGCTGGGCATTGGCTCGCTCCAGTCTGGGGACAGAGGGTAGGGGGGGTCAGGGTCAGATGAGGGACGTGATGGTGGGGGGGGGGGGGGGAGGGGGGTCAGCAGCTGGGCATTGGCTCGCTCCAGTCTGGGGACAGAGGGTAGGGGGGTCAGGGTCAGATGAGGACGTGATGGTGGGGGGGGGGGAGGGGGGTCAGGTTCAGATGAGTACGTGATGGTGGGGGGGGGGGGGAGGGGGGGGGTCAGCAGCTGGGCATTGGCTCGCTCCAGTCTGGGGACAGAGGGTAGGGGGGTCAGGGTCAGATGAGGACGTGATGGTGGGGGGGGGGGGAGGGGGGTCAGCAGCTGGGCATTGGCTCGCTCCAGTCTGGGGACAGAGGGTAGGGGGGTCAGGGTCAGATGAGGACGTGATGGTGGGGGGGGGGGTCAGCAGCTGGGCATTGGCTCGCTCCAGTCTGGGGACAGAGGGTAGGGGGGTCAGGGTCAGATGAGGACGTGATGGTGGGGGGGGGGGGGAGGGGGGTCAGCAGCTGGGCATTGGCTCGCTCCAGTCTGGGGACAGAGGGTAGGGGGGTCAGGGTCAGATGAGGACGTGATGGTGGGGGGGGGGTCAGCAGCTGGGCATTGGCTCGCTCCAGTCTGGGGACAGAGGGTAGGGGGGTCAGGGTCAGATGAGGACGTGATGGTGGGGGGGAGGGGGGGTCAGCAGCTGGGCATTGGCTCGCTCCAGTCTGGGGACAGAGGGAAGGGGGGTCAGGGTCAGATGAGGACGTGATGGTGGGGGGGGGGAGGGGGTCAGCAGCTGGGCATTGGCTCGCTCCAGTCTGGGGACAGAGGGTAGGGGGGTCAGGGTCAGATGAGGACGTGATGGTGGGGGGGGGGGGGGAGGGGGGTCAGCAGCTGGGCATTGGCTCGCTCCAGTCTGGGGACAGAGGGAAGGGGGGTCAGGGTCAGATGAGGACGTGATGGTGGGGGGGGGGGGGGGGGAGGGGGGTCAGCAGCTGGGCATTGGCTCGCTCCAGTCTGGGGACAGAGGGTAGTGGGGTCAGGGTCAGATGAGGACGTGATGGTGGGGGGGGGGGAGGGGGGGTCAGCAGCTGGGCATTGGCTCGCTCCAGTCTGGGGACAGAGGGTAGGGGGGGTCAGGGTCAGATGAGGACGTGATGGTGGGGGGGGGGAGGGGGGTCAGCAGCTGGGCATTGGCTCGCTCCAGTCTGGGGACAGAGGGTAGGGGGGTCAGGGTCAGATGAGGACGTGATGGTCGGGGGGGGGGTCAGCAGCTGGGCATTGGCTCGCTCCAGTCTGGGGACAGAGGGAAGGGGGGTCAGGGTCAGATGAGGACGTGATGGTGGGGGGGGGAGGGGGGTCAGCAGCTGGGCATTGGCTCGCTCCAGTCTGGGGACAGAGGGAAGGGGGGTCAGGGTCAGATGAGGACGTGATGGTGGGGGGGGGGGGGGGTCAGCAGCTGGGCATTGGCTCGCTCCAGTCTGGGGACAGAGGGTAGTGGGGTCAGGGTCAGATGAGGACGTGATGGTGGGGGGGGGGGGGGAGGGGGGTCAGCAGCTGGGCATTGGCTCGCTCCAGTCTGGGGACAGAGGGTAGGGGGGTCAGGGTCAGATGAGGACGTGATGGTGGGGGGGGGGGGGAGGGGGGTCAGCAGCTGGGCATTGGCTCGCTCCAGTCTGGGGACAGAGGGTAGGGGGGTCAGGGTCAGATGAGGACGTGATGGTCGGGGGGGGGGGTCAGCAGCTGGGCATTGGCTCGCTCCAGTCTGGGGACAGAGGGTAGGGGGGTCAGAGTCAGATGAGGACGTGATGGTGGGGGGGGGGGAGGGGGGTCAGCAGCTGGGCATTGGCTCGCTCCAGTCTGGGGACAGAGGGAAGGGGGGTCAGGGTCAGATGAGGACGTGATGGTGGGGGGGGGGGGGGGGGGTCAGCAGCTGGGCATTGGCTCGCTCCAGTCTGGGGACAGAGGGTAGGGGGGTCAGGGTCAGATGAGGACGTGATGGTGGGGGGGGGGGAGGGGGGGTCAGCAGCTGGGCATTGGCTCGCTCCAGTCTGGGGACAGAGGGAAGGGGGGGTCAGGGTCAGATGAGGACGTGATGGTGGGGGGGGGGGGGGGAGGGGGGTTCAGCAGCTGGGCATTGGCTCGCTCCAGTCTGGGGACAGAGGGAAGGGGGGGT